ATATAATTAAAATGTTTTAAAGCATGTTTTATGAACAAATTTTAGGCGATATTTTCCATCATATTACCAAAAGATTTTTCTTTGTAAACTTGAAAAAATTTCAATGTAATATCTTTTCCGTCAAAGCCTCTGTTACACCTCAAAATGATTTGGGGTCCCAATGTCTATGGTTGTTATTAAGGTATTACATATTTGCAAAAAAATAAGACAAATACAATTTGAAAAATGAAATTCATTCTTAGAAATATTGTGACTTGTAATTGACTTGTTTTTAGATTTAATTGACCATAAAAACATGTGTCAAACCTGTCAGACACACTTATTGTAAATAATCCCATGTTACTTCTGCTAATGGATTTCAAATATATATATAGATATGTATATATATATATATATTTATAATGGATTTCAAATACCAATATAAGAGAGATAGAGATTGTCTGAAAGTTGTTTATAAGTAGACTCAGAATAATATGAACTTTAATGGGAACTGACAGTGATTTGAACATGGAAATAGATTTTGTCTAAACTGTGAACTTATTCTGTTTGTTAAAGATTGTTACTAAATATAAGATAAGATAAGATAAGATGTTTATTGTGTTAAAACAACCATTATGGACAGCATGCATACATATACACTTAGACATAGTCATATACATTTAATAATACATGACAGCATCAAATAGCTTGTGACCTAATTATTTCTCAGAACAGTCGTACCGATATGATAAAATTATGTAGAATTTTCATAAATGACAAAAATATGCATTTGTATTTTATGTTAATGCATAAGATGTAGATAATGGACAGCCTTCCCGGGCCATACAAATACAAGTATATTTTTGTACTGATATGATATTATAATATGGAATTTTCATAAATGACAAAAATATGCATTTATATTTAACCTAAATATATAAAAAAAGATTAAAGTAGATAACTTGTTTATCACCTATTAACATATGACTATTGTCAAATAATTTGATACAAGACGTTTTCCTTGTATTATTCTATCAACTGTTTCTGAAATATGTTCTACCAAATATATATTTGGAATATGTTCTACCAATGTTTCGGAAATATGTTCTACCAAATGTTTCGGAAATATGTTTTATCAAATGTTTCTGAAATATGTTCTACCGTACCAAATGTTTCTGAAATATGTTCTACCAAATCTTCCTGATATGTGTTCTACCAAATCTACCAGATGTTTCTGAAATATATTCTACCAAATGTTTCTGAAATATGTTCTACTAAATGTTTCGGATATATGTTCTACAAAATCTACCAAATGTTTCTGAAATATGTCCAACCAAAATACATCTTAAATCTATTCAAACAAAGTTATAAAATATTTTCTACGCAGTCTCCAATTTACCATTCCTAGGAAAGGTACTGGAAAAGGTTGTCGCTTCCCAGCTTACATCCTACCTAAACTAATGGTTTACATGAGAACTTACAGTCAGCTTATAAAATTGGACACAGTACTTAAACAGCCCTTCTGAAAATCGAATCAGACATTGATGTTGCACTTGATAACAATTGTGGTGTGTTACGGATACTCTTAGACTTAAGTACTGCCTTGATACCATTGATCATGCTATGCTTTTTGAGGTAGAAATCACAGGATCACCTTTAGCATGGATTAAATCTTACCTTTGCAACAAATCATGGTTAACTCAAAACCTTTGACCAAAATTTCCACTTTCCGTTGGTGTCCCACAAGGGTCAGTTTTGGCCCCTTTGCTCTTCTTGCTGTACCTTCTTCCACTTGATCCAATCAAACGGAAACATGGAGTCAACAATCATGGTTTTGCTGATGACACTCAAATTTATCACGATTTTCCTTTTTTGAAACATTGGCGGAACAGGCTATCTACAAACTAGAGAAATGTCTGGATGATGTTCGTGTGTGGATGTGCCAAAAACAAATTAAAACTAAATGATGACAAAACCGAATTCCTTATCATAAGCCCTCAGTCTAAATCACAGAGCCTAAAGGGGATACCAAAACTCTGAATGGGTTCTAGCCTCATTCATCCAATTCAAAAAGCGAAAAATCTAGATTACGTCATGGATGACTCTGTGTGCAACTCCCCAAATAAACAATATTATCAGGCAAAAGTACTTTAAAATGAAACCAATAGCAAGTATCCGATGTTATTTGAGCAAATCAGTCTTGTGTAAGAACTGTGACTTCGTTAGTTATTTCCCAATTTAGCTATGCAAATGCTCTTCTAGTCGCAGCACCTAAATTCTCTCTGGATAGATTGCAAGTTGCACAAAACAGCATTGCTAGACTGGTGACTAAAACACTGAGAGGTGAACACATCAGTGACAAACTAAAGGAATTGCATTGGCTGCCAGTTAGAGCGTGAATTGAATATAAAATCCTTACAACTCAATATAAAAGTCTCTTCTCTATATCCACTCCCAGCTATATAAAACAGATGTTTACACTGTATATTGATGTACAGATACGCCGCAACCTCAGATCCTCAAACGACAAAACATTACTATCTGTTACAAAACATTAAATCTGTTTAAAAACTTATCTATTTAATAAGGTGTACTAGTGGTGTGATCATAAATATACTCTAGAGATACTTTCCACATAATATACAATGTGGCTAAACAGCGCTTAGAAATAACCATTGGACATAATGTAGCACTATATAAGACAATTATTATTATTATTATTATTATTCGATGGATAAACTTTTGTGATTAGATTAGGTTATAATGTCTAACATCGTTTAACTTCTTTATAAAAAAAGGTATTTTACAACTACATGGACAGTTTAATCACTCACCAAATGACATCAGGAACTCCACATAATATGATCAGGGCCCTGTTTCTCGAAATCTTAACTAAAGATAAAATCCAAATTTTAGTAGATACTTCAATTTTGATTGGCTAAGCACTAAAATCCATCTAATATTATCCAATCAAATTACTAAAATTTGGATTTTATCTTAGTTAAAATTTCGTGAAACAGGCCCCAGGTGTATAAGATATTCATGTCCATGAATCCCAGGCAATTTTCGCGCCAAAATTGAACCTTAGTTACTATGCCCTAGTATGCATGGAACCATACATGGTAATAAGATTCCCAGCTTTGATTGGCTGAGAAATGAGGGTGATCTATTTTTATGCATAGTCATCAGAAAATTCCATTTTCGCTGTAAATTTCAAATGGAGTTACGATAAAAGTTGTTCTTTGTGTATAGAAATGGTTATTTTACTTGATATATAGTTAATAATGAATATATTGACAAGTGAATGGCACCATTTGTATTTATTTACTTATAGAGAATAGTTTGGGATATCAAGTATTACAGGGTTATCCAAATTACCGGTAAATGCGCTAGTTGCTTGAATCATCTTCATTTGCCAGTTTTTAACAAAGGCAGATTATTGGATCTACGGCATGATGCAGCATTTTAAAATTCACTCTAAAATATTCTAATCACAAATGTCTAATCTATAACATGGCAAGATGATAATTCAGAGCTTATGATTAGGCTAGTCATATGTTTATTGGACCATCAATAAAGATTTGTCAACTGGTGGTGTGTATAGACAATGATATATTGTATAGATAATGTATATACTATGTGTAGTCCCTGTGACGTCACCAGCCAATCAACCGGATTAAGGGTGTAATTGAAAAGCGTTTTTGGGTGTCCCAATACTTAAACATTAATATTTCGAATAATTTTAACCGGATAGATGTGAACTTGCCGTAATGTGTATATAGTAACGACTGGCTATAAGTACATAAAGTCTAATTTTATCATCTTATGTGGTCTTTCACTGAAATTCTTGTTTTATAAATAACTTTAACTTGAACTATATAAAATTAAATTAATCATTGAAAGGATTGTTTGGTGAAATGCACAAACTGGTCCATTTATAAATGTATACTCTAATGAAATCTTGATACTTGGACAAGAATAGATCACCATTTGAGAATTGTAGAGTCTGATAAGGCTTTAATGGTAGTCAAGAGAATTATTTGTCCAAATTATCCGCCACACACTCCCAAATGTAGCTTTGATAAGATTGTGAAACCATGTTTTTCTTGATCATTTGATGGACAGCAGAAAGGATCCATCCACTGTATTTATCTAATGGATGAAAATGTGTGGTGTATTTAGAGTCTGCTACCAGCTCAACAGGATTAGTTGCACTATAAATAGAATGACAGCTAGATAAGAACCAATCAGAAGCAAGATAGACCCAACCATGCTACTGCCGGGCGTCTGCTCAATTTAAGAGACACTATATAGCTAGTAAATTATTCCTACCGTTTATATGGAACTCTGATAGTCTTGTGGATATCTTGCCTATAACAGAGGGTATCTATGATTATCTTTGTGGATTTATTGTTTGTCTATTATTATTCTACCTATATATATACATACATATGATAACACAATGGTAAGTAACTATATAGATATATTTATTGTAGCTTATATTGTAGTATTTGGCAGGTTATTAGCACTAGTATCTGGGGTTTTATTGGCTTTGACTTGATTGGAATAACTTAGTTTTATACTCCAGTGACCCTATGCGTAACACTGGAGTGATTTTGACTTTCTAAATTTTAGATAATTTATCTGTTTGATTTTACCAAATGTAATCCATCTTCATTAATCTGTTTGATGCAGGAAAAGGAGACATTAAATCCTATTTTATTTTATTTCATTTCATTTCATTTCACCTAACAAAAGAACTATGAAGATTGCATACCTTCCCTATATATGCTGGAGTTGTGTTGGTTTTTTTATGTGGATACCAAAATTACTTAGTCCAGAATACATGTATTTTCATTGTTTTAGCTTTCTTTTCACAATTGTACCTAATAGTTATATACTAGCTTTTTCATCCATTTATATTTCAGAGGGGGATTTTTTTCTTTCTATGAAGACACACTTTTCCAAGTTACCCAGTGCCAACACAATTTTCTAACTATTCTTTTTTCTTGTCATTTCAGGGAGTTCATTTAGAGGAACCGTCATCACCTCTCTCTCAACCGTGGGCTTCCGAAGATCTTAACGATTTTATGCGTCAAATGACTAATCCAACTAAACATCGAATGTCTTCAGACTCTTCCTCTGGATCTGTGTCACCTACATCAAGAGTTTTACGTGGATCCAGAAAATCAAGTCTTGAATTACCAGAACAATTTAATGAAAAATGTACTGTTCAGCATCGTTATGCTTCTCGTTCGTCACGGTCCAGTACCGATTCACACTCAAAATCTCTCCTTTCACCAGACATTGAGGAGCAGGAATCAGAAATATTTTATTTCGAAGACAAAAGTGACTCATCCAAAGATTCCTCTAAAAACGATCAAGCAGATGATGGCATATGTGACGTTACTGAATTTACGATTAAAATGTCATCAAATGAAGAATTCCATGTAACGTTTACATGTGAATCATCACAAGAAGGTTCAGATTGTGAAGCAAAATCTCCTGTAGACACTAAATCTAAAAAAGTGAAAGAAAGCAAAAAAGGGCGATTTCGTAAAATGATTCCAAGACCTTTACGAAGAAGTCATAGTGCTGGTTGTGCGAAAGATGTCCCATCTCATGCTTTATTTCTACAATATGATGAGAAAAATACAGAATCGGTAAGTAAAACAAGTCCTACAATTAAAAGAAAACATAATGAAGGAAAAACAATAGATTTGTTTCAAATTAGATATCAATAAAAATTATAATAATGAATTTATGTTGGCTTGAAATTTTTCCTTCATTAGATTTCTATTTAAAGTTTTCTTTGTATTGTATCTGAATATTGCAGTGAATTATCCTCAAATATATATATATATATATATATATATATGAATTCAAATAGAACCATTAAAGAAAATGGCGACTGCAAATAAAGCTTTAATATTATTGCAGGAATTACTGTTTTAACATTTTTTTTTAAAATTTATAATTTTTATACAAATCCTGAGAAAATGTAGAACTATTTTGTCATTTCAGAGCGTTAAAAAAAAAAAAATCTGAGTTATATACTATTTTGTTATATAATTTGTTATATAATTTCTATGTTAATATGGGGATATTATAACTATCTATGCTAATACGGGAATATAAATAATATAGACAAAATAGAGTATATTTGCTAACTGTCATTTATAATTAAATCATTAATAAGGTAAATTGATTAATGTGTGACTTTATCCTCTAAGTTGTATGTAAGGATATTAACCTGACATATATTGTAAGTAGTTAATGAAGTATGTATGTACTTATATATAGACGGTATATTCATTAGTAATAATTAAAGGTACTTGAACAGGATTTTTTTCTCATCCAATACATTAACTGAGTTGAACTAAATTAGATTCAAGGCCTCATTCTCCTGTTTTAAACCCAATATTTATCCGAGACACATCATTTCTGGAGTGCCTCAAATCCAAAATGATGTGGTGGATATTAGAAAATTAAATACATAAAAACAAATTATCAACTAGCGAAATGCAAACTCATTCATATATTTGTATTATCAGTTATATATGTGAAGTACGATACGAATCACTATAGAACACAAATTTTCTTATACGTCGTAACATTTAGAATTTGATTTGAATGAGAAATAAAATGCATTCTTGTTTTTGTCCCACCCAAGAGAATATTCCATCACAAGAACTGTAGATTTAGTATCAAACAAATTATGTTCATTCATCGCTAATAAATCTTACGTTTATCCCCAATAAACCTTGTCTTATTTAGTTGTATCTCTTTAGATTGTGGCACTGATATATTGGCTATTATAAAAAATAGATTTCAGCTTCTAACTAATCAAAACTCCTATCCATCAATGTCTTATAACTCAATCAAAGAACAGGTTTTAGAGAAAATCTTACTTAAGAATACTGTAGGTCCATGAACTTTCTGTTGATTACATTTTGGCAGATTTAAATGATAATTTAGATGGGGAAAAAAATGAACTTTTGGTTGAATTATCTGTTAAGATATTTTCTTTAGTCAATTACAATCGGCATATTGTCTGTTTTGCTTAAATTTCATTAGATTTATTTTTTTTGCTCTGAGAAATTTTCAGTCACCTTCAACTAAGTTGGGAAAATCAGCCTGCATTATTAATCTTCATTATTTTAAATTTTGTAGTTGAAAAGATAAAGAGAGCAAAATTTATCTCTCTTTCAAAGATTGAATTAAGGAATGGAAACATTCATTTCAATTTAAATCGCATTATCAGATGACACATTAAAAAAGATAGGCTGAAAAAACATTATACTGTCAATTAAGAATCATGATTTGGATGTGTGATGTTTTAGAGAGACAAGTTTCAAGATTAAATCAAGAGAATAAAATATTTGTGTTGGAATTCTCTTTTCTTTCTTTCGAAGAAATGGCCTTGAGAAAAAAGGTTCAGATCTTCTGCGTTTACAGAATTCTATCTGCTCCAGAAGTGGTCTTATTATAGTAACAAAACTATATATTTAGACATCTTCCCTCTAGATATTATTTATTATCAACACATAAACAGACATCATGTTAAGAATGGTCATTACTAATGAGCAATAAAAGTTCCTGATAGTCTAAAAATAGCAGTAACCGTGTTCATGGCTGGCAGTATATATAATTACAATAATATTTTTTCCAGCAGACCTCAACCTTGCTGATTCATTTCAGAATTCCATCTTTAAATTTCTGCCACAGGAAAGTTTATTAATACCTTTCCAACAATTTTTCAAAAATAAACAAATGTCTGCAAAGTCTATTCATCCTTCCTATGAGTTTGGGGGTTGGATGGCCGAATGGTTAGTGCGTGCACACTTATCATAAGTCTGTCATTGAGTCAACTGGAATGGTTTCAAATCCCTGGTTGTACGTGACAAGGAGTAGGCCTAGGGTTGTCTGTCCAACATTGTGGGTCCGGTTCCCTACCATGTGTTTGTCCCGAAATGTTGAAGAATAATATCGTATATTAATTACTCATTACTTTCTGATCAGCTAATTATAACTCAGCAGTTTATATACTTATACAAAAATAAAAATTGTGTGACTTACTGAGTACTGAAATATGCCTTTTTTTTTAAAATGAAAAATAACAATTTACCATTGAATTATACATAGCTGGTTTGGGTTTGCTTTAGATAACAAAAATTAATTCTAAATGATTGATTTTTTGGGTTCATATGAATTAAAAATGATGTAATTGTCAATTATGAAAATGTAATGTCGTAAACAACTGTTTGGTTATGTTTTATATTAAGACTTACTGTCTCATTTCCATTTATTAGAATAAAAAATTGGTCGGTTTTATCTCACAAGTCGATAGGGATAACCGACAATAAAGAATTAAAGAGGATCAAAATAATAGATTTTGATTTGTCCTCTACAATTCTGTAGAATCCCCTTGGTGGCAACGACCTTCTATTTTTAGTAAGTGTGATCGACCACAGCTAAGGAATAGCAGTCTATTTATTGAAAGGAAACCATTTAAATCCTTCTCTAGGGCTTCAAGAATTCTTGGTACTGTTTGAATGGTCATTGAATTCTGATATTTTATAGATACGAAGTATTTCAGGATGTCTATTGATTTGAATCACCTTCATCTGGGATATAATTATACACATCTTAATATAGATAATGGATTGGTGATACATGATCTATGGACGATGCTACACTAGTCATTAAACAAAATTAGAAAAATTATCCCCTTAGGACTACTCTTAAACTACTCATATTACACTCTGTGGTCATCTTTTCCATTAGTTTAGAGAACTAGCTTACTAGTTTTAATATAGTTAATAAATTGTTTTAATTAATTAGAGTTTCTGAAATCTTAAAATGGACAGATATTAAAAATTTATATAGGAGTGAGTTATAAATTAAAAATATTCATTTTGTCCCATATATGGTCTTTTAGATCAATTAAGCTTAGCAAATTATATTATATCTTCTGGTTTAATGATTACTTGTGAAATACAATATTTTATACCACTTAAAAATATCAATTTATGGAATATTTGAGATGTAAATATATTTTAAAAGCTATAATCATTCACAAAACCTTTAAATAGTAAAAATTATCATCTAATTATCATCTCATTATGGTTATCAGAATGTCATCAATAGCGATCTGTTTATGAAGGATTAATTATAGGACTAGCATTGTATGTATGCAGTTTTTGTCCCAATACTGATATTGCTGAAGTTGGCAACATAAATATATATATATATATATATATATATATACATGTATATATATATGAAGACTATGAGTATTTCTGGTACAATGTTTATTACTGGTATGTAACTTTATTACTGGTATGTAACTTTATAATTTTCATATTATTTATGAAGATTTTTCTCTCTTTGTAGATGGAAAGTCGTAGATCTAAAAGTATAAGTGATCAAGAACAACCGTCTGCACCCAGACCACGCATTGTCCATAAAACATCATCAGCAGATGCAGCTATGATGGCAACAGAAGAATTTGGAGCCATAGCAGCCCTCCAGACACAACCAAAACCTAAATCTCGCAGCATGTAAGTTTTGCCAGAATTCAATTAATTTTTCAATAGGGTATTAATACTAAGTGGGTTGAAAAGTGAAAGAGTTGAAAGTGAGTACAAAAGCATCATGTGTGTTTTGATTCTAAGATAGCCTACATATGGGAAATTGGGTTGAAAAAAAGAAACAGCTAGCAAAATTCAGATCACTATGATATAGAAATTTGTGAGCGTCTGGTTAATGTCTAGATGGGTTTGACAGTTATTTGATTTGTCTCTTCATTATACTTGAATAGATATTAATTCACTTGTTTGATAATTTTCTATAGAATAGTTCATAAATATTGTCTATATTACCAAGCCTGAACATTCAATTATAATATTAATAACAATATCCTTTGATTAAATACTAAAATATTTCATTAATATGGTGGGGTTTTTTCTTTAGTGCAAAGAATGTCAAGAGGAAACTACAGCTGCTTAAAAGACGTCATACAGATTCTACACTTGGAAGTGGTATCAAACATATACATGGTAAAAATGGCTCACCATCTGCTAATGAAGTTGCTAAATGGGCTGAATCCTTTGATTATCTTTTGTCGGATAAATGTAAGTATTAAGAATTAACTAATATTAAAGTTGGCAGAAAACTGTCCATATCGTTCATTATCTATCATTATTTAAATCAATTTATATTAAATGCAAATTATAATAGTTCTTCAAGAAAAATCAAACAGATGGATTGAACAAAATTGAGCAGTATTATCGAAATAGCAAAGATGCAGTAAAGTAAAGCTATCCTTGTTCATAAAACCATATTTGACATATTTCTTCATACTTAATGTGATTATGTTACTTTTTTAGATGGAATAGATCTATTCAAAGAATTTCTTCATTCTGAATTCAGTGAAGAGAATTTAGAGTTTTGGTTGGCATGTGAACAATATAAAAGCACCAAAACAAATAAGTTGGCCAGTACAGCACAAAAAATATATACCGAATTTGTTGCTGCTCAAGCACCTAAAGAGGTATGTAAATTAAAGGTTTTGGGGGTTTTAAAAAAAAAAAATGAACTGAAGATTTGGGTTACATAAGTTATTTTTGACAGCACAAAAAGTGGAGGGGGTACATGACCCACTGAGCTCCCAATCTATACACCACTGCAAAATGCCTTTGCTGTACATAAAGATGGAATAACCATTGTCTTCTTCTGTCCTTACTAATGCCTCTGCAAATGCCAATATATGTAATTGGATAGAGGATCATATTTTGTAGACAGTAATTGGTTCTAAGCATTTATCATGTCAGTAGCCAACAATTAACACACTGTATGATCAAATAATCTTGCAGACAGGAATATAACCTTACCCATGGGAAATTTATGACCAACTTTTCACAAATCGCCATGGGACCTGGCCATGAAAATTGATAGCAATATCCATTAATGTAGAATAAAGCAGCATCAGGTCTGCCAGTACTCATCTTCTAATCCGATAAATGATTCAACAGTCATTGCCCTTGTGTCTTGCTGTTGTTTAATGATTAAACTTGAATCATATTGTGAAACTTGGTCAAATCATTGAGCTGTTGAAAATAATACCATTCTTTAGTCCTAAGGGAGTAGTTCAAAATAAATTGATTAACCTGTTTAATTTTAGACTTGGACGAATTTATGACCGACAACTGTCTTAGAGAAACAAATTTCAGGTTTTATTAACTGATTTCAAACTGGCTTGATCTCGTTGTTGTGGATACAAAATAAAACTGTTTTGCAAAGTGGCTTTATATCTGGATTTAAAATTTTAGATGCGCAATTGAGCCACATTTGCAATGTAATTGATTTTATGTTGAACAAATTAAGCGAAATACGAAACTAAAATAAGTAATAAAAACAACACATTAGATCAACATAATTCAACACTTTATATCAAAGATTAGGTTTAGTGCCATTAAGATTTATTCAAAGCATTATTCACTTTTTTAACAAGTTTTTAAATTTGTATTTTTCAGATTAACTTAGATTCTAAAACAAGAGGAACAACTCTCAGTAACCTCACCTGTCCCAATCGACACTGTTTCCAAGACGCTCAGAAACGTGTTCAAGCTCTCATGGAAAAAGACTCTTATCCCCGATTCCTAGAATCAGATATATATCAAAGATCTGTGCTACGTTCGCAAAATTCTTGAAGAAATCAGTGTATGGCATAATCCATAATAAAACTATATAAAGACTTACAGTGCTCATAGAGATTAAAAAATTCCAGAGATAATGGACAATTGTGGAAGGTGTGATAAAAATTAAAAACTATTTGATTGGAGACATTTACCATTACAATAGTTTTAATTGAATGTGATAGATAGACTTAGTATGCAGCAAACAATATGTTAATGAGGATATGCAAATTCTATATAAAAATAGAATATATTAATATTATGATAATATCATGCACATGTATGAAATACACTAAGTGTAATAGTCAAAATCTGCACTGAACTTTATAAACTAAATATGGAACCAAAATTGACTAGAGATCTCTGAAAAAGTTATGAAGATTCACATTTTTTTTTTTTTTTTTTTTACACCCTTTTGGTTATAAAATCCTAAAGAGGTCAGAGGGTAGGCAAGAAAATACACCCAACATAAAGAACATCATAGCAGATATATTTATAATGTGCATCAAATGTATACTGAGCTCAAATCAAAAACTGGAATTTAGAAAAGAAAGATAGGCATTGTTTATAAAAACCCAATCAATATTTGATATTGAAATAGATATTTGATGGTGTTCTAATATGGTCTCAATTTATAATATTCCAAATATTATTTGAAAAGAAATGGAAGAGATATTAATTTCATGAACTACTAATTTTGAAATGATGAACATGAGAATTACATGCTTATTTAGTTTTCAATTTCTTTCACAATACATAATTACAATATTATATTACAGTTCTAATGAGTGAAACCTATCTTATTAAATATAATCTATCGGATTTCATTTAATAATGGATATCATTTGGATCTCGAATTTCAACCACAAACACAAAATTGTGCTAACTGAATTAAAAATCTGTAATGTTAAAAAGGTTATTAAAATCTGAGAGCTTCTATATATCAATCATATATGTATACTGTATAATGTTCTGTGTATACAAATAAGCCTATCTGTGTATCAATCATTCAAAGTTAATTTATGTAAATATTCATGAATTATATTATATAAAGCTTATAGAAAATCTATTATATTTCGTTTTATATGAATGTTTAGATGTTGTACAGAGCTGGTTTTTGTACATAATTTAAGACTTTTTTTGCTGCAGTGCAGTGTTTTATGATATTATTTATTTATACCATGTACACAGGGCATATAATATTAAAGGGACAACACATCAATTGGTACCTTGTTCTTTAAAAATTTAAAAGTGTGCACTGTTATATGTAACAAACTGTTATTACAATCTTATACTATATAAAAAAAGAAATTTGAGAATAATTATTATACTTTTATGAGCTCAGGCACATATAGTTGGCTGTATGAAATACTAGAATCATTGTTGATTGAGTATTGTCTTGGTTGCTAAATTAGACTTTGATTCTGGCATGTTGTCCATTTGAATTTCAACTAAACACTGTTTATTAAGGGTTAATATTGAATGAATTATTCTCTTCTGACTCAATTACGGAGTTCGCTAGTTTATTGAACTTCAAAAATATAGGTAGGGCCTATATTTTGTAATAATGGTTGTTTTTTTTTTAAATGCTTAAATATATGACTCTTTAATGAAATGTATACTCTTATGAACTCCTTTTGTTAAAGTTATATTTTTAGGAGAAATTATTTCGATCTATGTTGTTTTTGTTCAACTGGTTGACCAAAATAGTGCAAAACTGAAAATACAGGTCACAATGATTGTTCTGACGAGATCTCTGAAAATTGCTGAAAACATATTTATTTATATCATTGTTTCATTTAAAAAAATATTTTTCAACCAAAAACCAATTTTTTAATCAACTTTTTGCGTGTTTCATGATAGTCTTAGATTACTCTTTCTATAGTAACGGGTATGAAATTATCTGACAGTTACATTTCTAAACCAATCTAACATTTTCAATGGCAGACGGCCAGGATGAACAAATTTGACTGAAAGCCTTTTTTAACCCATTTATGAAATCGTTCTATTTTCAAGCATACATAGGATAGTTGTAAAACTGTTTCAGAAAAATATTCTTTTTAATTCCTGTTGTATATATTCATCTTAAATGTTCCATCCTTTATATAATGCTGCATAATACTCTGTTATGTTTTGTTTACAATATTATTGTGTTAAAGAATATTGTGGTTTTCTATGAAGATGTTTTATCTGTTACTGTCTTTATACAGCATATCAATAAAAACATGTTTAACACACCAATTGTACCATTGTTTGTTTTTGTTATTTGCAATGCTAGCTGATGGACAATGAAATGAAAGTGAATGAAATTGGGTTTAACTTCTTAACCTTCTGTTCCACCTGGGCTTATGAAGACAGTAGGTAGTGAGGGTCTACTCTTATTTCATATTCCAACTGTCAAGCGATTTTGTACGTGCACTCCATCATGTACATAGTACCTTGTCTTTCCATTCCATCCAAACGACTTGACACTGTTCCTTTCCCCACCCCAACACCCCGCCCCTGTCCTGCACCACTGAACCGGGGAAAACATGCTGGAAAATCCCAAAGAACTGGTTAGTGACCCACTAAGTCAATAAGATTGGTTTTCACATGACCCCATTGCTTAAGGTCAAATTTGCAAACAATTTTTTTTACCTCTATCACTTAACACTGTTTTCAGAAAAAGGGTCTAAGAATGTTGAATATCAGCGATCCCAATGTTTAAGTTTCCATCAAATTCGAAAATAAAATCTGTTTACAACTGTAACCACCCTTGCAAGTCAATTGTTAATCTACGGATATACATGGGTGACAACGTAATACACCCACATTTAAGTGTAGGGGCATAAAAATTGTTAAAAAGGTGGCACTTTAGAAACGTGCTCAGGTGTACTGGTTGCTATACTTGCTTTCCAACGATGCAGGACGGAGGGCCTGACAAGGACAGATGTCTAATCGTTCGGATGGGACGAAAAACCGAGGTCCTGTGTACAAATTGGCGTGCACATAAAAGATCCCTTGACAGTTGGAATTTGATATAAGAGTAGGCTGTAGTGCCGCTGTCCGGGCAAAGTTTCCCTCATAGCACACTGTATGGCGTATGCCCGTCTTCATTAACCCAGTTCAGAGCAGAACAGTAGGACGTTAAAACCCCATTTCATTTGATTTCATTGCTTTCCAACGCCACGTTGATTTGGCCGAATTCCCTACTTAGGAAGTCCACTTACTTTACCATAAACCCAGGTGATTGACAAATATTATCTCATAAGACGGATAATGTTGCTATATTGATCTTCACATTTGTACTAAAAGAATATGAACTGGCAATTATTGTATCGCTGTGTGGTATATGCACTTTAAGAGTTCGGGGTCAAACATTCTTGACCCTACTGCAATGCAGATGTAGCCATTAGCATGTGTCTTGGATGGGATGATGTCAGTGGTTGCCTAGTAACTAACGCTAAATCGTTGGTTATCGGCAGGTAAAAAAGTCATTGTAAGATATATTCTACAGAAATGTGACGTAATAGCCAGAAAAGCCAGATAAATGGCCATGTATTTTTATACGCCCACATTTTCATGTGGACGTATATTGTCGTCGCCCCTGTCCGTCCGGACGTCCGTCCACAATTGTTTGTGGACTCTCTACAGGTCACAATTCTTATCCGATTTTGACGAAACTTGAAATATAGGTTTATCCCCAAAAGATCTCGGCTGCTTTCGATATTGGCGTGTATCGGATCGAAACTTCATGGATTATAACCCCTGTTTGTACGAAAAATCACGTTTTTAGCTTGTGGACCCTATAGAGGTCACAATTTTTATCCGATTTTGTTGAAACTTGAAATGTAAGTTTATAACCCAAAGATCTCGGTTCCTTTCGATATTTGCGCATATCGGACCGTAACTTCCTGAATTATGGCCCTTGATTGTACGAAAAATCACGTTTTTAGCTTGTGGACCCTATAGAGGTCATAATTTTTATCTGATTTAAAAAATTGTATTATTATATCACCGTTACACCCTAAGGATGGGTGAGTTCGAATTTCGTGAATATCGGCCCAAAACTGACAGACAAAATGGCCGCCCTTCATTCTCAAATAGCGTAAAAATATGGTATATATCAAGGTTGTGGACCCTATAGAGGTCACAATTTTTATCCAATTTTGTTGAAACTTGAAATGTAAGTTTATAACCCAAAGATCACGGTTCCTTTCGATATTCGCGCATATCGGACCGTAACTTCCTGAATTATGGCCCCTGATTGTACGAAAAATCGCGTTTTTAGCTTGTGGACCCTATAGAGGTCATAATTTTTATCCGATTTAAAAAAACGTAATATTATATCACCATTACACCCTAAGGACGGCTGAGTTCGAATTTCGTTAAAATCGGCCCAAAACTGACAGACAAAATGGCCGCCGTTCGTTCTCAAATAGCGTAAAAATATGGTATATCAAGGTTGTGGACCCTATAGAGGTCACAATTTTTATCCGATTTTGTTGAAACTTGAAATGTAAGTTTATAACCCAAAAATCTCGGTTCTTTTCGATATATTCGCGCATATCGGACCGTAACTGCCTGAATTTATGGCCCCTGATTGTACGAAAAATCACGTTTTTAGCTTGTGGACCCTATAGTGGTCATAATTTTTATCTGATTTAAAAAATTGTATTATTATATCACCATTACACCCTAAGGACGGCTGAGTTCGAATTTCGTGAAAATAGACCCAAAACTGACAGGTAAAATGGCCGCCCCTCGTTCTCAAATTGCGTAAAAATATGGTATATCAAGATTGTGGACCCTATAGAGGTCACAATTTCTATCCGATTTTGTTGAAACTTGAAATGTAAGTTTATAACCCAAAGATCTCGGTTCCTTTCGATATTTGCGCATATCGAATTGTAATTTCCTGAATTATGGCCCTTGATTATAGGAAAAATCACTTTCGTCTTAGCTTGTATTCTATCCATCTCTCGAAAATGTGGGCGTATCCTGCCTGGCAGCCGCTGGTTTTTAATCCAGTAGTTAAGCCCATGTTTCTGGTCAATGTTTCGTTTTAATTGGGCTACTCTATATAGATATGAAATTAATATGCCTATTTGTCTTCAAGAATGAACAAATCTTAATAAATTACGCTGACTTAAATCAGAATTAAAGAGAACAGATATCTGTCAAATAAGTAGTTCTATCTGATGTAGAGTACATGTAGATACGATTTTATTGTAGTTAAAAAAAAAAAAACAAAACAAAAAATCCTTGAGGCCTAAATTGTCCCCGTTTCGACTATAAGGAATAGCCTTCGTTGTCGAAGCGGAAATAATGTGGGTGAATGATGGAGCTTACCAGTGCTTTTCAATTTTTGTAAAACTACCTTAACAAGCCCATCGATGACTAATCGCAGACTTCTCGACTTTAAATATAATATGACAGAGTTGGTCAACGGACTCCTAGAAACAATTATGCCGACAAATCAACATCCTCGGTTGTAAATCTTACACATAAACTATACGTGGAATAATTTGTCAATGTCAATTACGAATTCAATAACGATGCAATTTGATTACGCACATTAATAGAAATTAAAATACAGATGTGACGTCATCCTTTGATGTTGGCGAACCATTATTTCCAATATTGGTACTTGCGTGACGACGTATTTTATTGAAAAGCACATGCAGGATAGTGTCTGTAGTTTAAGTTGTTTAATGGTCTCGAGCTAAAGACATTGCGTAATATATTGAAACAACACTCGCTCTCGACCATTAAACAATACATAGTTCGCGCATAGCTTCCCTGATCGGTAACATCTACTTTGCCCCATAACAGTATGCTAGTGAATCATCCCGAAATGCTTAAAAATGTAAATAGGCCTATTAACAAGTATACGAGAATACCATAATTATTATGGATCAGGAACCACATCTTGTCCAAAATCGAACAAGCATGTCAAGTTTCATTTCAAATGTACTTGTATTGGCTGAGCATTGGGCTTTTTTCGAAGAGCGTCCTCCCCATGAAGAACAACAAGATGCGTATGTCTTGCGGATCAATTCCTGGTATAAAACAAAACAAAACAAGTTCTATATTACTGTTGCATTGCAAGTCACGGTATGGCACTGCAACGTAAAAATGGCATATGAAAATGCTTCTCAAATTTGACTCGGTGGTATTACCTCTCTTCGAAATCAGGCTTAAATTCGTTACTCCCTCGGGTTTTTTCTAAAAGAAATTCTATTTCAATTTGAACAGTTATATCATCTATGAGAGGAGTTGAATGATGCGGAAAGTGGGCACGGTGTATCTATATTAGCCCACATATTACAGATTTCTATTATTTTTGACAGATTGGGCTCTTTTTTTAGAAACACGAAAATCAAATACAATATGTGAATACTATATATCTAACAAGAAAACTATTTTATTTCATTTTTCGTCAATCTGTCTTCAGCTACCGATTGGATTTGAGAAGATATCCGACGTTTTCACGAATCACGCTATTGGTGGATATGTCTGTACGAGACATTGTTTGGAATAAATGGACTTTTTGAGTAGGCTGACCTACACGTATTTTATGTTCGGGGAAACAGATATATTGGGCGATATACTGAATGGATAAGAATATCCGCGCCATATATAATAATAATTTGACGTTAAAATGGATAATCGAGATTTTGTTTATTATCGTAGCAATGGTTCTTGACAATCGAGACTATTTTAAGCTACATGTATATCTTGACAGAACTTCAAACGCTAATATCTTCGCTCGACGTTGAGAATAATGTAACATTACTGGAATTTTTAATATTTATACTTCATTATCTATTTTCTAAGTATAGGAATGATCTTGGGTTGCATATTTTCTATGCAATCTATGCAATTTTTTTACATTTCTGATTTTAAAGAAGCCTTCAAACTCGGTCATTTGGCGGTTTTGACAATTTGACAAAAGTAATCCAGGACAAAATCTGTCTATTACAAGCATTTGTTTGCTTCAAATGTTATATAAATTATTAACCATAGACATCACACGACAAGTCCATAATCACCAGTAGCTCATCAGATCGTCGCGATATTAAACTGATTAGAACATCGGCGTCATTTAACAATTTAAAGTTAAAATGAATAATGTAGACATTGTTTATTATCGTAGAAATGGTACTTTAAAATTGATATGAACTTCGCCCAGAATAAAATATTTTGAAATTTTCAATATTTTATATTTATTTTCCAATATCTATATATTTT